AAGAATCATAGAAGTCGGCTAGACGTAACAACAGTAAAAAATAATATCTATCTTTTTCAAATGGAATTAGCATTTAAATTCGTAAACTCCAAAGTAATTGAATAAAACACATTAAGTAAAAAGCAATTTTTTTGTCCATTTCATTGTTTTTCTGTATATATATATATATATGTATATATATATACAGGGTGTCCCGTAAGTTTTGGCCAGTCGCTTTTGTATAGATAGCGCGGACTAAACTGAGTCGAAAAGTCCTCTAACATTTTACAATTTTCGCGATAGTTAAAACAAGATATTAATTACTAAAAAAAATTGTTAAAAACTGGTTTTGAATAATTTTTTATTCAAATATTATCAACTTTACAGAAAAATAGCGAGAAACAAAAATTATTTATTTTCTTCTCATAGAACTCTAAGAATTTTTCAGAATTTTTTATCAACTTTTTATTTGTATCAACATAAGAAAATGCGGTATTAAAAAATTCTAAAAAATTCTGAAAAAACGTTCAGAACTTTATGAGAAGAAAATAAACAATTTAGCGTTTAGTCCGCTTTATCTACACAAAAGCGATTGGCCAAAATTTACGAGATATCCTCTACATATAATATTTTTTCTTGGTTAAATTTTTTCTCAGAATTTTTCATATAATTTTTCAGAATTTCTATATAATTTTATAACTTTCTCACATTTTTTATACGAATTGGAACATTTCTCTGAATCTACATCTTTCCTCCAGAATTTTTCATATACATATGTTAATTATGGAATATCGTAAGAGATTCTAAGATTTTTTGTAAGTATAATTTCTGATGAAATGTTATAAGATTAAAAAATTTTTAAATATTTTTTTTAATTATGGGATGAGAAATTTCAGAATACTTGTATGAAAAATTCTGAGAGAAGATAAACTTTCCAAATATTTCTCAGTATTTCTGAAAAATATTCCAATTTGTATAAAAATTATGAGAAAAATTTTCACCAGGGAGAATTAAAAAAAAAAGATAAATAAAAAAATTATAAATGAAAACAAAAAAACAATATTGCAAAAGTAAAGAATTCGATAACTATTCGATAGCTAAGTTAAAGTACGCGTTAATACAAGAATAATCATCATTAATGATAGTCATCGTTAATGATAATCAATTAATTCTAGAAGTCATCTTTACTATAGAAAAATAGGGGTTCTTAGAACATAGATTAATCATTTTGTGCAATTATAAACTGGACCATATCATGTTTTATTTCTGGAATGAGAATCTGGTCAATGAATTGCATAAGCCAGGAAGGAAGTTCTACTCATTCGCGATGAATATTCAATAGTATTCGAACAACTACATGGCAATACGTCATTCTTACGTATAATAATAAATGATTTGGCAGTTATTTATTAGCAGTTACTTGAAACAATTTAAGATTAAAGAAACATTCAAGAACAGCAAATTATTTATTTATAATTAATTAATAACTAACACCTGATGTGTATTTTTATAATATTCAGCGACAAATAATTAAAAAATTATTTGAAAATTTGCAATTAAAATATCTTTTTATAAAAGAGCGCACATGTTAATATATAATTGAATAAGAGTACATTATGAATAATGTCAGCAATAAGGGAACTCCCAATGAAGGAAAGAAAATTCTTCGGCTAGGTGTTCCCACCTGCGTCACACAGCTCATGAGGAACAGCTTCATCATGTTTCAGCCTTTTGTAACAAGTGCAAAATTATCTGGTATTGACGAAATTATTTTACAATCTTGAGCTGTATTATGATTAATTTATAAAAAATTAATTCTCTTAGATTTTA